AAAGAGCACTTCCACCTGCTCTATTCTTGAAACTCTTTATTTCATCTTCTCCTTCCCCTTTGGGAGAAATGGTGGGACCACATCCATCATGGGAGTTCTCAATCAGTAATAGCAAATACACACATTTCTGGAGTAATTACCATGTACGAGGCGCCGGGCTCAGAGCTTGGCCTGTACTTTCATTGAATCCTGACGGCAGGTGCTGTTGATCTCACCGTTTTACAGATGCAGAGGCTAAGGTTCACAGAAGTTAAGTCACTTGACCAACATCAAGGAGCTGGGATATTGTATAAGTTTTGAGTTTTATTCAGCTGCTAATAATAGGGACTCCAAATAATAGTGGCTTAAGTAGACACAAGTTTATTTACTTTAAGAAGTAAGTCTGCCACCCTGGTGAAACCCCGTCTCTACTAATAATACAAAAATTAGCCGGGCGGTAGTGGCACACACCTGTAATCCCAGCTACTCGGGAGTCTGAGGCAGGAGAATCGCTTAAGCCTGGGAGGTGGAGGTTGCAGTGAGCCGAGATCATGTCACTGCACTCCAGTCTGGGTGACAGAGTGAGACCCTGTTTCAAAAAAAAAAAAAAAAAGTCTGGAAATAGGCACTTTAGGGCTGGTTTGGCACCTTTATGATGTCATCAGTGACCTGGGCTCCATCTGTCTTTCTGTTTTGCCATCCTTAGTGTGTGACTTACATACCAAGGGCACCTCATGGTTGCATCGTAGCTTCCACAGATCCAGCCATCGCATATACATTCCAGATAGGAAGAAAGTGGGAGCTGCAAAAAAAAAAAAAAAAAGCCCTCACTAGCAGAGTCAGCCAGCTTAAAAGTGCTTTCCCAGAAGTCTTAGTCAATGACTTCTGTATTTACACTTCACTGGCCACCCCTACTGCAAGAGAGGTTTGGAAATGTAACTTTTAGTTGGTCACACTGCCACAAATACAATCAGAGTTTTGTTACTGAGGTATAAGGAGAGAGTGGATAGTATATGTCTGACAAAGACCTGAGAACTGCCCTCCGGAGTCATTTCTCTTCCCTTCTTTGCGGCTGTTTTCTGCTTTTATTCTGTCTGACACGCACCTGGGAGACAGGGATGGCCACCAGGGTGTTATTCTCCTCTGGGCCACTGGATGGCAGCAAAGCACATGCTGCCCATTGAGGTGCTCAAAGCGGCATCTCCTGGGTATCTGGGTATGGGGAATAACAGGGTTCCAGGCACGGTCCAGATCCACAGAGACCCTCCCCAAGCTGGGCAGATGCCTGGGGGCCCACGTCCTTCACTTGGAGCCACCCAGAATCCAGACTTTTGTTGGGGTTGAGACTGGTGCCCCTCACATCTTGGGGTTTGGAAGAAGTTGATCAGGCAACCCCGAACATCTCACCGGCCTCTGCCTGAAGCCCCTCCGCTAGCTTTTTGTTGCTTTGGCTTTAGCATGACTTTGAGGGGCTTCTTTTCAAATGCAGATACTCTAAGCAGGATAATTGATCTTCTATATTTTTATTTTATTTTATTTTATTTTATTTTATTTATTTTTTGAGACGGAGTCTCGCTCTGTCACCCAGGCTGGAGTGCAGTGGCGTGATCTCGGCTCACTGCAATGTCCACCTCCCAGGTTCAAGCGATTCTCCTGCCTCAGCCCCCGAGTAGCTGGGATTATAGGTGCCCACCACCATGCCGAGATAACTTTAATTTTTAATTTATTGTTCTATCTATCTATCTATCTATCTATCTATCTATCTATCTATCTATCCACCTACCTACCTACCTATCTATTTTGAGACGAGGTCTCACTCTGTCGCCCAGACTGGAGTGCAGTAGCACGATCTCGGCTCACTGCAACCTCCACCTCCCAGGTTCATGCGATTCTCCTGCCTCAGCCTCCCGAGTAGCTGGGATTACAGGTACATGCTACCATACCCAGTTAATTTTTTGTATTTTTAGTAGAGACGGGTTTTTACCATGTTGGCAAGGCTAGTCTCCAGCTCCTGACCTTAGGTGATCTGCCCGCTTTGGCCTCCCAAAGTTCTGGGATTATAGGCGTGAGCCACTGTGCCTGGCCGGAATTAGTCTTGATAGCAACGATCTCACAGATGTTTCCTACCCCCTGCTAAAGAGCACTTCCACCTGCTCTATTCTTGAAACTCTTTATTTCATCTTCTCCTTCCCCTTTGGGAGAAATGGTGGGACCACATCCATCATGGGAGGGTTTTGCATAGTAATTAAGCAACCAAGCTCTGGGAACCTGGCTATGACTTGCAGAAAAGTCACTTCCTAGCTGTGTGACTTTGGGGTAGTGACTCAGCCTCTCTGAACCTCAGTTTCCTCATCTGTAAGATGGGGATAATAATCATACCTACTTCTTAGGGCTGTGAAGGTTGAATAACATCACACATGTGTACATTTGACACACTGCAATGCAGACAGTTGTACATTGTAGCTATTATTATTGTTGTTATGTGAGCCAGAAAAACTGGTAAGTCACCCTTACTTTGTTACTAAATCATTGCCCAAGTAGAGTTGAGCTCAAGGTCAAGCCTTTGGATGAACTTGGTACAGGGAAGCTAAACATGAGTTCACTTTTCTTCTCTGACCTCAACATTCCTCATCTGAAAACTAGGCCGATTATGAGGCTGAGTTCAGATGATGTGTGTAAGATACCTGGAATATTTTAGGAGCTAGACACATATTATCACCAGCACATCAAGCTTAACATTGACTTTTTAAAAATGAATCCTGTGATTTTTTTAAAAACGTGATTTTTTAAATGCACTTTTATTATAATTTATTTTTTGAGACAGGGTCTTGGTCTGTCACCCAGGCTGGAGTGCAGTGGTGCGATCACAGCTCACTGCAGCCTCGACCTCCCAGGCCAAGTGACTTTCCCACCTCAGCCTCCCAGTGTGCTGGGATTACAGGCATAAGCCACCATGCCTGGCCTAATGCACCTTTAGAGAGGGCCACTCTTGTTGTCATATGGGAAATTTGCAGCCCTGGGAACTAAACATTCTAGTAGCCGGATGCAGGAAGCCATCTGATGTGCTGCCAAGTTCACTTCCTGGCTTCCTTCTCCTGACTGTGTGCCTCGGAGCCTCAGTTTTCTCACCCGCAAAATGGGGGTGTGAATAGGGCCGACCCTGTGGGATCATTATCCGGGATGGTGCGTGCAGAGTTCACCTGCGGGAATGGAGCCGGTTCATCCAGGGTCCAGTTCACCTTTGCAAGCTGAGATCTCTGAGGGAGAGGCAGGAATCAGTGAAGGAAATACTCTAGAACAGTGATCCTCAGTCCAACTGCACGTCACAATCACCTGGGAGGCTTTAATGAGAACTCCCAGATGCCCAGGCTGCACCTCAGGCCAATTAAGACTGAATCGTTGAGGGTGGGGTTGGGCAGCAAGCAGGTTTAAAGTTCCCAGGTGATACCAGTGTGAAGCCAAGGTTGAGATCCAACGGGCTGGCAGAGGCTCTCAGACTTGACTGTGCACCAGGATCACCGGGAGGCTTGCTAAAACCCAGGTGGCCTGGTCCACCCCAGGGCCTTTGATTAAGATGGAGGTGGGGCCCAAGAATATGCATTTCTAATAAGTTCCCAGGTGAAGCTGATGCTGCTTGTCCTGGGACCACCCTTAAAGAACCACTGGGCTAGGGCAATGTGTTTTAAACTGTGAATGGTAAAATCAGTTTATTGGATGGTAACCAACATTTTAAAATAGTGAGATAGAACAGAAGAGAAAATATTAGAACATATAATAAAAATATTGATTTGAGGCTAGGTGCGGTGGTTCACATCTGTTAATCCTAGAACTTTGGGAGGCTGAGGCAGGAGGATCATTTGAGCCCAGGAGTTTGAGACCAGCTTGGGAAGCATAGTGAGACGTTGTCTCTAATTTTATTAAAAAATAAAAATTAAAAAGAATATTGATTTGAACTGGCACAGTGGCTTACACCTGTAATCCCAGCACTTTGGGAGACTGAGGTGGGAGGATTGCTTGAGCTCAGGAGTTCAAGACCAGTCTGGATCCCATCAAAATCCCATCTCTACAAAATTTTTTTAAAAACCCAAAAACTTAACTGGGTGTGGTATTGCATGCTTGTAGTCTCATCTGCTCAAGAGGCTGAGGCAGGAGGATCACCTGAGTCCAGGAGTTCAAGGCTGCAGTGAGCTGTGATCACACCACTGCACTCCAGCCTGGGTGACAGAGCAAGACCCCCAACTGTATTTTTAAAAAAAATTGATTTGTGAAACTTTTATATTCATTTGATTAGATAATATGAATACATCTACATACACAACATACGTATGTATGTTTGTATGTGTTGGCTGCAATGTATTTCTTCCTGTGGACCACCTTTTTTTTTGAGATAGTCTCGCTCTATCGCCCAAACTGGAGTGCAGTGGCATGATCTCGGCTCACTTCAACTTCCGCCTCCTGGATTCAAGCGATTCTCCTGCCTCCTCCCCAGTAGCTGGAATTACAGGCACACGCCACCATGCCCAGCTAATTTTTGTATTTTTAGTAGAGACAGGGGTTTGCTATGTTGGCCAGGATGGTCTTGAACTTCTGGCCTCAGGTGGACCACCATTTTTTAAAAAACGAGTGAACTGGCTGGGCAAGGAGGCTCATGCCTGTAATCCCAGCACATTGGGAGGCCAAAGTGGGAGGATTGCTGGAATCCAGGAGTTCGAGACTTTGAGACCAGCCTGGGCAACATGGCAAAACCCCATCTCTAAAAAAATACAAAAATTAGCTGGGCATGGTGGTGTATGCCTGTAGTCCCAGCTACTCTGGAGGCTAAGGTGGGAGGATTGCTTGAGCCCAGGAAGCTGAGGCTGCAGTGAGCTGAGATTGGGGCACTGTACTCCAGCCTGGAGCCTAGGTGACAGAGCGACACCTTGTCTCAAAAAAAAAAAAAAGAGAGTCAACAGCTTTTAAAAAATATTGTAGGCTGGGCATGGTGGCTCATGCCTGTAATATCAGCACTTTGGGAGGCCAACATGGGCAGATCACTTGAGGTCAGCAATTTGAGACGAGCCTGTGTCTCTACTAAAAAAATAATAATAATAGTAAAAAAGTTAGCGTGGTGGCACCTGCTTGTAATCCCAGCTACTTGGGAGGCTGAAGCATAAGAATTGCTTGAACCTGGGAGGCAGAGGTTGCAGTGAGCTGAGATCATGCCTCTGCACTCTGGCCTGGGTAAAAGAGTGAGACTCTGTCTCAAAAAAAAAAAAAAAATTCGTAATCCTGTAGACATGTAGACACACACACACACACGTAAGTGAAGCAAAACTTATGTTGAACAATATTTACCCTTATGACTCTCAATGTACACTAGTATTTTCTCTTCCTTTCTTTGCCATCCTATTTTATTTTGTTTCTTCAAAATTCGATGGAAACCCATTTAATTGATCTCATGCGCCCTCAGAGGTTTGAAAACCTGCAGTTTGGAGACCCTGACCCCAGAGGGTCCCAAACACCCTGCCCACCGAAAGTCTTCCTGAGCAGGTGGGAATTGGGGTCTGCCACCAGGATAAACTGAGGAAGACCACGGAGGAGGCAGATATGTATGAGAGCAAGTACAGGGAGGTCAGCAAGACCTTGGATCTACTCAAGAACTCAGTGGAGAAACTGTTCAAGAAGATTAACTGTGATGCCACCAAGATCCTGGTGCAGTTAGGGGAGACGGGGAAAGTCACCGACATCAACCTTCCGCAGTATTTTGGTGAGTCAGGCTGGGGCCCGTTGGAGTCTTAGGAAACATTTCCAGAACTTTCTGTGACTGGGCATGAGGACTTGCTCTTATGGAGTAGTGAGCTTGGTGGTGAAGTGTGTGGGCACTAAAGCCAGCCTGCCTGGGTTCGAATCCTGGGTCTACAGTTACTAGCTCTGGAGCCTTGAACAGGTTTGTTTTTGGCTTTGTTTCTTTTGAGACAGAGTCTTGCTCTGTTGCCCAGGCTGGAGTGCAGTGGTGCAATCAAGGCTCACTGCAGTCTCAACCTCTTGGGCTCAGGCAATCCTCCCACCTCAGCCTCCCAAGTAGCTGGGACTGCAGGCATGTGCTGCCATGCACGGCTAATTTTTTGTATTTTTTGTAGAGACAGGATCTTGTCACATTGCCCAGGCTGGTCTCAAACTCCTTTGCTCAAGTGATCTGCTCTCCTTGGCCTCCCAAAGTGCTGGGATTACAAGTATAAGCCACTGTACCTGGCCAGGGCAGGTTTCTGAATCTCACTGTGCTTCAGATTTTTGATCTACAAAAAGGGGTCTCTTTTAATGCCTTCAGTTTAAAAAAAAAATGGGTGTAAACCCAGTATCTACCTCATAAGACTGTTGGGAGGCTTAAATAAATATATAGTTATTTGAGAAAAATGATATTATCACCTCAATAAATGCAGAAGCAGCATTTGATAAAATTCAACATCCATTCATGATCTTAAAAAAGAAAACTCTCAGCCGGGCGCGGTGGCTCTAGCCTGTAATCCCAGCACTTTGGGAGGCCGAGGTGGGAGGATCACGAGGTCAGGAGATCAAGTCCATCCTGGCTAACATGGTGAAACCCTGTCTCTACTAAGATCAGGAACAAGGAAGGGATGTCTGTGTGCTGTCACCATGCCTATTCAGTGCTGTACTGGAGGCCCTAGCCAATGCAATAAAGCAGAAAAAAGAAATAAAAGGCACACAGATTAGAAAGGAAGAAATAAAGTGCTCAGAGTAGTGCCTGGCATGTAGCAAATCTATTAACAATCACATACATTTCTAGGCATTGACCCTAAGCTCAAAGTGGACAGGGAGGGACATACCTGCACAGATCCTGACAATTTGGAATGAATGGCTTCCACTGCTCCTTGAATTAAACCTCAGATTCTTTTTTTTTTTTTTTTCTTTGAGGTGGAGTCTCACTCTGTTGCCCAGGCTGGAATGCAGTGGCATGATCTCAGCTCACTGCAACCTCTTACTCCCTGGTTCAAGTGATTCTCCTGCCTCAGCCTCCTGAATAGCTGGGATTACAGGCACTTACCACCACGCCCTGCTAATTTTTGTATCTTTAGTAGAGATGGGGTTTCACCAGGTTGGCCATGATCTCTTGACCTCATGATCCACCCGCCTTGGCCTCCTAAAGTGCTGGGATTACAGGCGTGAGCCACCGTGCCCAGCCAAACATCAGATTCTTAATACACTCTATGTTTGGGAGGTTCCCCAAACCCATTCTATCCTCCTGGCCACATTCAGTGATTTGCTAGAGGACTCCCAGGATGCAGTATATAGTCACACATATGGCTGTGATTTATTACAGTAAAAGGGTACAGAACAAAATTAGCAAAGCGACATGTTGGTGTGAACCATGTGAACCATGTGATAAACCATATTGTGCAAATTAGGCAGGGTGAAACACTCTTTTAAAAAACTTAAAAAAAATTTGTGGGTACATAGTAGGTGTGTATTTTGTGAGGTACATGAGATGTGATACAGGCATGCAGTGCACAACAATCAAATCATGGAAAATGGGACATCCATCCCCTCAAGCATTTATCTTTTGTGTTACAAACAATTCAATTATACTCTTTTAGTTATTTTTAAATGTACAGTTAAATTATTTTGACTATAGTCACCCTGTTGTGCTATCAAATACTAGATGTTACTCATTCTTTTATCCATTTATTTATTTTTATTTTTTATTTTTTTGTAGAGATGGGGTCTCACCATGTTGCCCAGGATGGGCTCGAACCCCTGTACTCAAGTCATCCCCCTGCCTGGGCCTCCCAAAGTGCTGGGATTACAGGCATGAGCCATCGTGCCCAGTCTTATTCATTCTTTCTGGTTTTTGTATTCATTAACCATCCCCACCTCCCTCCCACCTGCCACTGCCCTTCCCAGCCTCTGATAACCATCCTTCCACTCTCTATCTCCATGTGTTCATTGTTTTGAGTTTTTCATCTTGCAAATAAGTGAGAGCATGCGAAGTTTGTCTTTCTGTACCTGGCTTATTTCACTTAACATAATGACCTTCAGTTCCATCCATGTTGTTGCAAATGACAGGATCTCATTCTTTTTTGGTGGCTGAATAGTACTCCATCGTGGATATGTACCACATTTTCTTTCTTTCTTTCTTTCTTCCTTTTTTTTCTTTCTCCTTCCTTCCTTCCTTCCTTCCTTCCTTCCTTCCTTCCTTCCTTCTCTCTCTCTCTCTCTCTTTCTTTTTTCGGAATTTCGCTCTTGTCACCCAGGCTGGAGTGCAATGGCGTGATCTCGGCTCACTGCAACCTCTGCCTCCTGAGTTCAAGTTATTCTCCTGTCTCAGCTTCCTTAGTAGCTGGGATTACAGGTGCCTGCCACCACGCCCAGCTAATTTTTGTATGTTTAATAGAGATGGGGTTTCACCACGTTGGCCAGGCTGGTCTCGAACTCCTGACCTCAGGTGATCCACCTGCCTTGGCTTCCCAAAGTGCTGGGATTACAGGCGTGAGCCACCATGCCCGGCCATCACATTTTCTTTATCCATTCAGGTGAGTGACTCTTATCAATTAATGGTGTTGGGAACCCTGCTGATATCCAGGTTCCTGGATGCCAGCCCAAGCCTGACCTGGTCAACAAGGCTTTCAGAGGAGAAAGCCTCACTCTGCTGTGTTGACTTTTTTCTGTACACAGCCTATCAGGTTCTTCCTAGCCTGGCCTTGCTTACATTTCTCATCTCCTCTTGTCCTGCTCTGTCCCTGGCTCACCACCTGCAGGCACAGCATCCTCCTCTCGATCCTTCCAGTCTCCCCCACTGCTGCCCCTGCATCTTGTTCCCACCTCGGCGCCTTTGCACAGGCTGTTCCTGGAAGACCTGTCCCATGCCCAGTTCCTTCACATTCTCAGATCTCAGTTTCATTGTCCTCCCTGCACTGAAGCTGCCCTGTCCCTACCCATCTGAAGCTGCCTGTGCCCCTCCCGCCACCACTATTATTCCCTCTCATAGCAGTCCTAGTATTTAGCATTCACCCAATTTGTCTCTATGGACAGATCGCTTTCAATGTCTGGATCTATGTGGTTCCTAAGATATGATAGCAAATTTTGGATGCCAATATTTTTTATTTATTTATTATTTTTTGAGTGTCACTCTGTTGCCCAGGTGGAAGTTCAGTGGCACAATCTTGGCTCACTGCAACCTCTTCCTCCCAGGTTCAAGTGATTCCTGTGGCTCAGCCTCCCAAGTAGCTGGGATTACAGGTGCCTGACACTACACCCGGCTAATTTTTTTTCTTTTTTTTTGAGACGGAGTCTCGCTCTGTCACCCAGGCTGGAGTGTAGTGGCACCATCTCGGCTCACTGCAACCTCTGCCTCCCAGGTTCAAGTGATTCTCCTGTCTCAGCCTCCCGTGTAGCTGGGACTACAGGCCTGCACAACCACATCCAGCTAGTTTTTGTATTTTCAGTAGAGATGCGGTTTCACCATGTTGGCCATGCTGGTCTCAAACTCCTGACCTCAAGTGATCTACCCGGCTTGGCCTCCCAAAGTGCTGGGATTACAGGTGTGAGCCACTGTGCCTGGCCTAATTTTTGTTTTTCAGTAGAGACAGGGTTTCACCATGTTGGCCAGGCTGGTCTTGAACTCCTGACCTCAAGTGATCCACCTGCCTCAGCTTCCCAAAGTGCTGGGATTACAGGCGTGAGCCATTGTGCCTGGCCTGGATGGTAATATTTTTGATCCCTGATTTTCAGATAGAATAGCAGCAGTCTGGACAGTGTGAGGTTTATTCAAAAAACATACCCAAATCCAGTAGTTATTGAATCAGATAATGAACCTCTGGATGGCGAGGGCTCCCTGTTAGTGACCTGTTCAGTTGTTGAACTTGGCTTTCTCTCTGTACCTCCATACACACTGAAGCTCTGGTAGGGCAAGGACTGTATTTTTGTTGTTAGTGTTGTCATTGTTTTGTTTTTCCTCCATTGCATCTTTAGCGTCTAGCACAGTGCATGGCGTGGTAGGCATTGAGTAATCATTTGCGAATGAATGAATGTCTTGTGACTGCATGGGGCTATGGAGCTACAGTGCAAGGGGATGTCCCCTGAATGAGGCAGGTCAGGGAAGCATTCCTGCAGGTGGCGAGGCCTGACCTGCGTTTTAAAACACCTCTAGGGGGTTATTCAGGGAAGTGTGTAGGGAAAGACATTCTGGCAGAAGGAACAGCATAAGTAAAGGCCTGCAGACTTGAAACAGAGAGCACTGAGGCAAATCAGGAGTTTAAGGTGGGGCTCCCAATTTTTAGTGTAACCTGGTGTTTCTCAACCTTCTTTTCGTTATCATCCTGCTAAGGAGCCTCTCTAGACGTATTTTCCTAATTGCCCTCCTTATGAATATAATATTTTAATATCATTGAGATACTGTGTGTCTGCTTATGTCCTGTGTGTATCTGTGTTATATACATTAAGAAGTCAGAGGTCAGGCACGATGGCTTACGCCTGTAATCCCAGCACTTTGGGAGGCCGATACAGAAGGATCACTTGAGACTAGGAGTTCAAGACCAGCCAGACACGGTGTCTACAGAAAATACAAAAATTAGCTGGGCATGGTGTCATATGTCTTTGGTTGCAGCTACTCGGGAGGCTGAAGCAGGAGAATCACTTGAACCTGGGAGTTTGAGATCGCAGTGAGCCAAGATCATGCCACTGCACTCCAGCCTGGGCAACAGAGCCAGACCTTGTTTACAAAAACAAAAACAAAAACAAAAACCAAAAAAAGTCAATTATTTTTCTCTCAAGAACCAAATTTCAGCCTCTAAGGGTGAGGAGTGATGTTGTCCTGTTGAGAATGCATGGTGACACCCAGGAGAAAGCCTTGTCCTTGTCAGAGGTCAGATCCCGCACCTCCTGTACTTCCTGCTCCTCCCCACCTTCTGCAGTGGGGGCGCCACCCCCAGCGCCCCCAGCGCCCCCAGGTCTAGGTCTCTCAGCAGCCATCTTGGTCCTACTTTTTGTTCTCCAGCCATCATTGAAAAGAAGACCAATGACCTGCTGCTGTTGGAGACCTATAGGCGCATCCTGGACATGGAAGGGGCAGAGGCTGAGATCACGCCACCCTTCCTCAACCCTTTCTGGGGTGGCTCTGCCCTCCTCAAGCCCCCAGAACCCATCAAAGTCATCCCCCCAGTGCTGGGGGCTGACCCCTTCGGCGACAGGTTGGATGATGGTGAGTTCTCTCTCTCAATCTGTGCAGGTTGCTGGGAAACCTGTGCCTTCAGGTCTGGGGAGGCCTTGTCCAGGCGCCCGAGGGGGTCTGCAGTGTTGAACCTCGTTTTCCCCTCTTTATGAGCCATTGTGGCCTGCCAGTTCCTTTGGGTGCTTTCTTGGCTGTGGTCACTTGGTATCATTTGCTTGGGGACTTTTCTCTCTATGATGCTAGGGTGACACAGATCCTGAAGTTTAGTTATTTTGGATATTTTTAAAAGTCAAAACTACCTTTTGATCATTTAAAATGAACCTTAAAATATCAAAAGTTTACAAATTGGCAAGTTATGGGTAGACATAGTTCCCAGACTCTGTGTCTCACGCTCACCCTATCTATGCTCCTGAGTCTCACTCGCCTATGACCTCCCTTTCCCTGACCCATTGTGCCTCTAGGACCCATCCTTGGCCCCTCCCCATTTTTGTCCCCTAACCCCACGGTTGAAGCAGCTTCAACCTGGTCCATGCCAGAAGCGAAATGGTCAACCGTGGTTCTTCCAATACTGGCCCATTGATCTTCTTCTTTTCCAAGGTGGAACCTCACTCATCCCCCTCATGCAGAGAGCCAGGCCTTCACTCTGAAGGTGGGAATCAAATTGGCCTCACCTGCTTTTTGGAGAGCAGTTTGGCCACATATATGGGAACCGATCCTTCCAGAAGGACTTACTCAAGGGTCGAAGGTGAAAGGTGGAGGAGTGGAGGCTGTTCACTGTAGCTCCAAACTGGCAACAAGTGTAATGCCCACCCCTTAGAGATTGGTTAAATAAGGTCCAGCTCAACCACCCATGCAGTGGAATTCTAAGCAGCCCCAAAAATGAGGCATAGGGCCAATATGAAGAGACTAGGAAGATGCCCTTGATATTAAGACAAAAGGGAAAACAGTCAGTTGCCCGACAATTGTCTGGGCATCCTGAGAAGTACTGTATTGTATAATCCCATCTTTCGAAAAACATTCTCTACATATGCGTGCAATACACAGGCACACACATGCGTGTATATATGTGCGTGTGTGTATATGAGTATAGATGTGTGTATGTGTGTGTATGTGTGTATATAGGTGTGTGTGTATATATGTGCATGTGTGTATATGTGTATATATAGATGTGTGTGTATATATGTGCATGTATATGTGTATATATAGATGTATGTGTGTATATATGTGTGTGTGTGTATATGTGTATATATAGATGTGTGTGTATGTGTGTATATATGTGCGTGTGTGTATATACAGATGTGTGTGTATATATATGTGCATGTGTGTATATGTGTATATATAGATGTGTGTGTACATATATGTGCGTGTGTGTATATGTGTATGTATAGATGTGTGTGTATATATATGTGCGTGTGTGTATATGTGTATATATAGATGTGTGTGTGTGTGTATATATATATTTTTTCTTTGCCAGTAGTCCTCAGTCAGGGGTGATTTACCCTTTATGGGACATTTGGCAATATCTGAAGATATTTTTGGTTGTCACAACTGAAAGTGATGGTGTTGCTGTCATCTAGTGGCCAAAGATGCTGCTAAAAATCTCACAATGCACAGGACAGCACTTCACAACCCTGACACGTAATAAGAGATATAAGACATCTGAGAGAGGGGGAGGGAGAGGGAGAGAAAGGGGAAGGCTCAGAGGCAGGAAGAGGAGGAGGAGGAGAAGGAAGGGAGGGAGGGGCGATGAGAGAAAGGGAAGGAGGAAGGTTTCTAGATTATGCATAAAAAACCAGAGGTGTATAAGCCACCTGTTACAGTGGATGATTGTGGATGGTGGTTTGCAGATAACGTTGCATTTCTAAGTTAAACAATTCTGTATTGTTTGAAATTTTCTCTTACAATGACCTTGCATGACTTTAGTAAGTAGAGAAAAAAATCAATTTTTAAAAAGCTGCCGCCATTTCTCTGAGCGGGATAGACCCCCAATAAGCACATGTGCACACACACACATGCACACAACACATGCGTACACACATGCACACACAGAGATCCTGTGTGTTTCAGCTGAAGAGACTGAAATGCGGCAGGAGTGAAAGCTAGGCCAGATGACACCCATCTCAGCACAACTTCCACCACCCTTTCAGTTCCTAAAAGGCTAGGGGGAGAGGTGGGCAGAGCTGCTGGTGGGTTGTCCTCACAAGGTCGGAAATGTACGGATACTGTCTTCACCTCTGTTCACGGGAATGTTGATGAACTTTAGTTTCTCCCAGCCCACGGGCCTCTATGGCCTACAGGTGTGAATTAGAAGAGGGGCCACTTTTGGGTAGATTAATTAGAAAAAGGTGCCCCTTCTGGGTAGCTATGGCTCAGCAATCAAGTGGGGGCTGGATTTCAACCCATCTGTCTACCCCTCTCCTCTAAGTGTCTTTGTGTAGTGCACATCCTGAACAACTGCACATGGTGGCCCTAACTCCTTAACATTAAACCAAATATTCGTCACATCCTTGTCTGGGAGGAAAACTAGTCATTGTCTGGGCAGCCCCGAGAAGTATATTTCTGTTCATTCTCCCCTCCTTGAAACCTGAGAATTTCCAGGCTCCACTCCCCAATGCTATGGAGGGATGCCAAACCAGGCTTGGCCATCCCTGCCTTGGGCAGAGAGACAGAGTCACTGGGAAGGAAGCCCCAGCCCTGGGTTTGATTTCCCAGCACCTCACACAAACCTGGTCTTGGTGCAGTGGAACAGCCCCTGGATCACAGCAGCCTTCGGCAGCTGATTCTCGACAATTACGTCCTGAAGGAGAATCGGAGTAAGGAAGTGCGCGGAGACAGCCTGCCTGAGAAAGTGGATGACAGCAGGTCCAGGAAGAGGGTAACCATGTGAGGTGCATGCATGGGGCCACCTTTGCACAATAACTGAAAAAATAAATGTTTTGTTCTGTAGCCTCGTGCCTGTCACACGCATTACTAAGGGCTTTGGGTGCTGGGGCCACCTCTGGGCTGGGACCGAGGAGTGAGAAGTAAAAGCAGGAGCAGGGGGCGGGAACCGTGTGAGGCCATCAAGGCCCCTGGACACCTCTGAGCTGGAGACCAACACAGGCCACCCCCAGACATGCAGAGACACAGATGCAGATGCGGTCCACCAGGTGTAACGGACTAGCCCGGGGGAGGGGCCATGCTGGAGCCAAAGTGTGGATCCTGAGACGCCGCTGGCCACCCGAGGTGTGGCAAACACTTGCGGATGGGAAGTGGGAGCTGGGGGCATGCTGGATCTGCTTCTGTGGGTGTGTCTCTGTGTACATGTGTGTATATCTGTGTTTCTGAGTCTGTGTCTCTGTGTGTTTGTATCTGTGTGTCTGTATATATGTCTGTGTGTCTGTATCTCTGGGTATCTGAGTGTCTCTGTGTGTGTCCATATATGTGTGTACCTGTGTGTGTCTCAGGGTCTGTGTGCATCTCTGTATGCCTCTGTCTCTGTCTGTGTGTCTGCACCTGTGTGTGTCTCTGTGTATCTGTGTTCTCTGCGTGTCTGTATCTGTGTGCATCTCTGTATGTCTCTGTGTGTCTGTCTCTGTGTGTCTCTGCATGTCTGCACCTGTGTGTGTCTCTGTATGTCTCTGTGTGTCTGTATCTGTGTGTCTCTGTGTGTATTTATGTGTCTCTGTATCTCTTCGTATGTCTCTGTATGTCTGTTTCTCTGTGTCTCTGCATGTCTGTATCTGTGTGCATCTCTGTATCTCTGTGTGTGTCTCTGTATGTCTCTGTGTGTCCCTGTCTGTGTGTCTCTGCATGTCTGTATTTGTGTGTGTCTCTGTATCTCTGCGTTCATCTCTGTATGTCCCTGTATCTCTGTCTCTGTGTGTTCTGTGTGTCTCTGCATGTCTGTACCCATTCTTGGGATTCTCTTTCTTCTTCTTCTTTTTTTTTTTTTAAGACAGAGTTTGGCTCTGTCACCCAGGCTGGAGTGATCTCAGCTCAGTGAGTGGTGTGAGCTCAGCTCACTGTGTATCTGTGTGCATCTCTGTGTCTCTCTGTGTGTCTCTGCATGTCTCCATCTCTGCGTGTGTCTGTCGTGGGTGAGCATGTCACTGCAGAGCTGAGTGCACAGTGTCCTGCCCAGAACCACGCACTGCCCTGGAGTGTCCTGAGTCCCGCCTTCTTGGTGCCGGACTGCATCTCTGACCACAGGAGCCCGGGGTATGAGGCTCTCAGCCTGGACCAGCTCTGGAGTGCAGGGAGGCTGTGAGGGGCAAGGGTCACCACAGGGTGTGGGGCATCCTGGGTCATGGGGTGGGGCCGTAACTACCCTGGGTCCCTGCCCACGAAGCCTGCTTTGAAAGGGGCCCCAGATCTCTGCAGCCAGAAGACAGTTTCGTTCATCCTGTCGCTGGCTCGGCCCTGAGCTCCTGCCACGGATGGCACTGTTGCCATTGTCAAGCCTTGAGGACTGGCCCTAACTGTGGCTCCTCTGGCCTCCTGGGCCCTCCTGCCTTCACTGTGACCCCAGCTCCACTCTGTCACCAAATTTCAGCTTGTTCCCATCACATCATTGACTTGGGCTGTGTTCTTAGGTTCTTGGGATTCTCTCTTTTCTTTTGAGACGGAGTTTGGCTCTGTCGCCCAGGCTGGAGTGATCTCAGCTCACTGCAACCTCCTCCTTCTGGGTTCAAATGATTCTCTTGCCTCAGCCTACTGAGTAGCTGGGATTACAGGCATGTGCCACCATGCCCAGTTAATTTTTGCATTCTTGGTAGAGACGGGGTTTTGCCATTTTAGCCAAGCTGGTCTCGAGCTCCTGAACTCAAGCGACCCGCCCGACTCGACCTCCCAAAGTGCTGGAAGGGTTCTTGAAATTCTCTTGAAAACTTGAAGTGCCTGAAGTCCATTCCCTGCTGCTTCTCAGGTTTTCCTCCAGGGAATCTTCCCGCCCATCTCCAGGCCATATGGTTCAGGAGGGCTCTGATTTCAACCCCAGCACAGGGCTGATCAGTTGAGCCAGGCCCGTCCATCCATCAGAGCACTGCCTTTGCCAGTCCATGGTGATTGGTTCAGGGGTCAGGTGCCCCAGAGGGATCCCACGAGGCCCTGTTCTGAGGTTTGTGTGGAGTTGGGAGAGAGAGGAGTATGCTCTTCTAGGATTGCTAAGGGGCTGGAAAGGGGGCAGGAACTGCTCTTAATTATTTTGCCACTGCCGAGAGCAGAGCAACATGACAGGAAACAGAGGCCTCCCCAGCCTCTGAGGGCACTGTCTGGGCTCCTAGATGCAACTGTGCCTGAAGCCCTTGGACTTCTTAGTTATTTGAACCTATTTCTTTTTCTTTTTTTTTTTTTTTTCCTTTTCTAGGAGACAGAGTCTCATTCTGCCACCCAGGCTGGAGTGCAGTTCACTGCAGCCTCAACCTCCTGGGCTCAAGCGAGCCTCCCACCTCAGCCTCCTGGGTAGCTGAGACCACAGGTGCACACCACTATGCCTGGCTATTTATTTTTTGTAGAGATTGGGCTCACTATGTTGCCTAGGCTGGTCTCAAACTTTTGGGCTCAAGTGATCCTCCTGCCTCAGCCTCTCAAATTGCGGGCATCACAGGGATGAGCCACCACACCTGGCCCTATTTGTTTCTTACATTGGGAATCTTGCAGCCATAATAGACCTGAATGCTTCAACCATGACTGTGGTCACTCAAAATCAAGAGTCAACTCACATCCAGGCCTGGGCCCCAGACAGGGTCAGAAGTCAGTATCGCTCCCCTAGTTTGCTAGGGAAGAAGTACAGACAACTTCTACTTTATCTGAAACTAGAAATCACTCTCTTAGAATTGGCAGGTGTGATTACTGTTGAAGGAGCTATGTTCCTACCATGTGTCAGGCCACTTCCTTCTTGTCACTGTCACTGGCAGGAGAGGCATTCCGATGGCATCCTAAGGGAAGGATGTTGTGGAAGCAAGGCCCTCTAAATGCTTGAGCTCTTTGGAAGAGAGGGCTGTGGTCATCCAGGTAACATTCCAGTAAAACATGGTCCTTAATAGAAACAGTTTTGGGTGGCTGCAAAGGTCTACCTTAAATAAAGAGTCACCAAGATTCAGTAATGACTGCAAGGCTGTCACTAACTCATCTGCTTTCGCCTTCCTTACTTGAGGCACTATCTGTCAGAGAAATGTCATGACCAAATACACAACCTCCTGTTTATTGTAACATGGCCTCTGGATAGATTTCCATCTCTAGGATGTGCGGCCATGAGGTTATCTGTAGCCACCCAGGCTGCAAAGAAGATGAAGGTGGATAAATGGGGCAGCCAAACAGCTAACAGACAAGGTGGGGACAGAGGCAGTACTGGGGGGAGAGAGATGAGGGCACGGACCACTCTGCAAAGACAAGCCCAGGGCACAGCAGCCAGCCCCCTCCTAGTCCTTCTCTTCTCCGTGGGTGATGATGTGCACCAGGTTCTTGTAGTTCAAGTTGCCAGTCACGTCAGGGGGGAAGGCGGCGAACATCTGGTCAATCTGCAATGAGCCAGCAAGACATGCTAAGGATGAGGGGAGGGGAACTGAGACAGAGGGTGGGGGGTTGTGGGCGGGGCCTGAGTGGACGGGTAGCTGGGGTGGGGGATGGGAACATGGGCCACTCAGAGGGTCCTCCAGAGAAGGACTTCCCCAGCTGTTGCAGGGCCCCCTCGCCCAAGGTCATGCCCTTTCTGGGGCAGCCTACAGCCAGCGGATGGGATTGGTGTCGGGGTATAAAGGCACGGCCATCTCGCCCAACTTGGTGCCTCCCAGGAGAGCTATCGAATGAGCTCCCTGCCTGGGGAGTCAGCGGTGCTGGTCTTTGGGCCTGAATCTTGGCTCAACTTCTTCCTTCATGTACTTTTCCTTCCTTGCCCTTCCCTGTTCTTCCCTGACCTCAAGGGCCCTCCCAAGTAAACATCATGCAGAGATGTCCCTGGAAACCCAGCCTTCCACCAGTATCACAAACTCAAGAGTTTCAAGGGGCCAGGCAGGTGATTTAAGGGAGCAGGATAGGGCCTGTGGCTAAATGGAGACACATGGCAATCTAAAAAGGTGACATGAAGGTGGCCACAGGGACCAGGGCATCAGAAATCTAGATTTTTGTTTTTATACAAACTTTCCCCATTTAAAAAGCATTGGCTATTTTTTTTAAAAAACCATACTGGCTTTTCATAGCCAGCACTTGTATTGCCTTTGCCACAAGTTCACATTTTCCCCACATTAACATATCAAATCCTTGCAATCTCCTATGCGGTAGCTTCTATTATCATTCCCACTTCACAGATGAGGAAATTGAGGTGCAGTGAGGTTAAGGAGCTTGTTCAAAGCCCACAGCAGGTGGAAAGTGAAGGCAGCCCTTTTAGCTGCTTGAATTTTTGGGGAGGGGAAATCTACATACAATTTTTAGTAAAATGTGGAACTTGATGGAGAGAGGCCTGTGAGGCTATGAGGGGGCATTTAAAATCAACTCATTAAGGTTCACTAATAAGGTTGACGGCACCATTGCTTGCTCATACAGAAGCTTTGGCAAATTAGCAAAAATGCCCCTTCTACCAAACTCACTACCGCATCTCCAGAAAAAGGTCACTGAGTTAAAAAAAAATTATTACCAGACAGTTTACTGCCAGTTCTGGAAAGCTGTTGCAACAAATACACAGTCTGATGACTGTGTATTTTCTAGATGTCAGTTTTATGAAACTGACATCTAGAAGAGTTGTTCAGTGCACAACTCACATGACAGTATGTGGCAGCCCTTCACACTACAATAATTTCATGCTCTAAGCAGGTCTCTATGCATCGTGAGAAAGGCAGAACCTGCAGTCACATAGACCTAGGTTTGAATCCAGGTCCTGGCATTTACTATTAGTTTTGTTATCTTATTTTATTTTATTTTTGAGATGGAGTCTTGCTCTGTTGCCCAGACTGGAGTGCAGTGGCGTGATC